GAATTTTCCTATTGTTGTGGGGCAATCTCCATCAAGCAGAAAAGTAATCCACTGGTCTTCAGTTCCTCAGATGCTGGGAGTGCATGAAGACTCTTGTGTTCACTCTTGTAACAGAACATTTGGTGTGTTGTGCAGAGCAGCTGTAGAAAAAGTATAAAACGTTTGGTGGACTGAGAGGCAGTTGCTCTCTCTGAGTGGCTCACTTACAAGCAACAGACATTGCACACAAAGTTTCAGCTGGGCGATTATGTGTTGGTCATTTTCTGCTTTGAAACTGAGTAAAACTCTTAATGGCTTGTAAAGCTGGTAGGCCCTCTAGTGAAAGGGTGGTAGATGAATGACATCTCACAAGACATGCAAAACACAACAATAATGGATTTTCATGATATGGAACCTTTAACCTCTTCAGACCTGGTTCTACATGTGTGAACATCACATTTTGGGTTATATTACCAGAGTAGTTAATTTTTTAAAAATTATTTAAAATCATTTATTATTGTTATTTATTTTTGTTTTTAATTTTTAAAAATATTTTAATTTAAAAAATATTATATATATATATTATTTTCTTTGTATTTTTTTTTTAAAAAAGCATATCAAACAAGAGCTCAGGTCTTAATAGGTTACAATAATCTGCTGCTGGCTTGAGCTTCCAGTTGTATGAACAAATAAAAGTGGTATCAGCCCTCGCATCAGCAGGATTGAAAAATAGGCATATTTCCTAAAATGCCTGACCAACTAACTTTGAGCAGAAACCTCAACATGACCATTTCCGTGTAAGAGCTGGTGACCTGTATGCAGCTTTAGCAGGTTTTTTACCCATTCTTGCTCCTCTGCACGTCTGCGGCCACATACGAGGTTGCAGGGTGAGTCACACCCTCATATACGAGTTCCTTGTGGGAAGTCCACAAATTGACAGTCACAATCAATCTAGGACTTTGTAACTGAGTCAAGTAGATCCCAAGGTACAGTTTCAGTTGTGAATTAAACATTGAAGTAGAGGCAGCTGCGGTACTTCAGGCATTTACATGCAGATCTATTTCATATATGCTCATCATGGAACTCTAGTGAAAATGAATTTGAGGCAGTTATGAAATCAAGTACATTCCCTCAGGGTAAAGTGAGCGTGAAATGAGGTCACGCTTCGGCTTATCTAGATCTAGATGAGTTAATACAGATCTTTCAGTGAGTACTACTGGCAGGAAAAAATGTGCATCAACGCTGATAAAAGCTTGTTTCATATTTTTCTACAAGTTATTTTTGAAATAAATGGGCAACTATCAGTTTTCTAAACTTTACGGGAGCCACTGTTGAGTAGTGCAAAGTGAGCTCTTTTGAATGTGTGACTTTAACTAGTTTGAGGCAAATTAAGGAACTGATCTCAAGTTTAAATTTGCAGTTTACTTTTGTTCGTAAAATCCCAACTTCACATCTGTTTTCACATAACGGTGACGTCATGTGCTGCATTTCAACGTGCAGAACAATTGCATAGTTGTGTTCTTACCTAAAAAGACAACTACAATGACATTTTAAGCAGCTCTTGATTTCATTAAATGCAGCAATGTTGGGTGTAAAAGTACAATATGTTCATAGTTTATATTTAGAACCAATTGGACGATGTGGAAGAAGAAGTGAGCTAAAGTTGTGATCATCGCTGTGACTGCTTCCTCTGTATTTTTCCCGATAGTTCCTATCTCTTAAACCAGAGGGATTTCACTATGAATTTCTACACGATGAATGAGAGCACCCTGTTTAAGTGCGCAAAGACAAAAGGTTTTGGTTTGTGAGAGCCACCAGAAATGACTCATAAATTATTACAGGTATGAATGACTGTCTGGCTGTTTGTAGTGCGTGCTCGCTCTCAGTCACCAGTGATGTAAGATCGGATCTACCACATTTAGGCAAATGCCCCGCAAAAGTACGCAAATGTAGACGAGTGAAAAAACACCCAGAGACGCAAACGTAGGCCGTGATCTAAATAAAACACAAAAATCGCGACGGGCTGTGTTTTTTCTTTTCTTTTTGATATATGAAAAGATAAAAAGCCACCTGAGTCAACACATTCTTTCTTTTAATATTAGATTTATAGGTCTGTAATAGTCACCCTGGGTCCTTTCAAAACGTCTTCTTAATTGGCCTTTTGTTGGAAAGATTTGCCTTTGTGGGCGCAAGGAAAACAAAACGGTGCACTCAGAGCAGTCTGACAATGACAGGGGTGTGCGTCAGTAGGTTTATTAGAAGGGATTGGAGCTGCCTTGTAGTTTGTAATCAGAATGCTGTTCTTCTGTTCTTTTCATTGTTACCTGCCTGGAGCGCTTCAGGATCACATACATCTCCAAGAAGGGAATCCCCCCCCGTCGTCCTCACCGGCTCCAATCTGCCACAATGCTGTTTTTGAAGGCCGAAACCTTGGACTGCCTCACCAAGAAGCCTAAAACAGCAGTCAGCATTATTACCTGAACAAATAAACATGAAATTAAAATGATCTGCTCTAGTCTATAACACTCCATTTCAAATAAACTTGTCTGCTTTTTTGGGAATTCCCTCATGATGGCGGGAAATTCCCATTCTTTTAGGATACACAGAAGATTAAAGGTCGTATCTATCCATTCTGTATTTGCCTGGATAAGTGTCGGGCTGAAGTTTTTCCCTATCTGTCTCTAAAGTATACGACAGCTACCTCAACACATCCTGATGCTTTGAAACCTGTTTCCAACAGGAACTGATCTACCACTGTAACCTTTCTTATTAATTCTTTGTCTCTTAGAAAAGTTCCCAGACAGTCAGGTGGGGACTTGTGACCTATTTTTTTCCACTCTCAGATTGGTGAGTAGAGCATTTCTGTGTGTGTGGAAGTTCAGTCACTTATAGCCCCTGTTGTAAATGCGTAGGTGTGTGCTGGCGGGGGGAGAATCCCCAGCACGCAGCTCGTGGCCTTTTTAGTGCCTATATGTAGTTCTACCAGTCTGCATGTGGTTGGCTTATAGACGAGATGCTCAACTTGCCCTTTAAAGCCAAAATTGGAACCAATCATTCTGTGGGCACATGAACTGGAGCCAGGCTGGTGTGTTATGTAAATGAAATAAATGTGTTGGAGACTGATTCAGCCACAGATATCTTCCCCAGTTAGCTGATGAGTAAGTCAACATGTGATGCTGCCGGGTGTCATTCGAACGCTCGGGGACTTAGGTGATGTACAAACTTTCACCGTCATCGTGGTCACAGCAGTCGTCCGTTTCACTACCTTAAGCACTTTGATTACATAAATAAAGATAAAAAAAAAATAAAATCTGTTGATCCCTCACCGGGGAACTCCACAAAGCAAGTTTGACTCTAAATGATTTAAAAATGAAGAATTGGGCAGAAAGAGACTGAATATCACTCATGTAGCTACTAGCAGTTGGTAAGCTAGCTAAAACCAGCAAGCCTGGCCCTGTCCACTGATTACGAAATATTCGCATCAGCAACTTTAAAGCTCATAATAAGTTACATCTCCGTGGGTAATCCATGAAAACACTTGTTTAGACAGTTTCTTTCTGTGGACTTGTTTGTCATTGGAACAAGCTAATAGGCTGCTCATCTTAGGGGTCCTTCACATAATGAGGTTAAGACCTTACAAAATTATATTACAGAGAGAAATACAACAAATTCAAAGTTTCCCTTTGAGCGGCTCTGTGGCAACAGTGGAAAGAAAAAAAAAACTCCCCTTTAACAGGAAGAAAAGTCGAGCAGAACCAGCCTCGGGGAGGGCAGACGTCTGCATGGGCTGGTTGGGGTGAGGGTGAAGGAGAGAGGAAGGTAGTGGAGGTAAAAGAGAACCGTTAACACTGGGGAGGTTGGGGAGGTCAGGAACTACAGATTATAAGAAAAGACAGACATGACGGTGAATAACTGCATTACCATTTTTCCCAAGAATGACAAGAAGATGTAATGAGTTAAGGTTAGTTAACTTTTGTTGTGTAGCAGCCATGATCCTGTTGCCTCGATGGAGCACAAGTCAAGTGACTGTATTTTTTAAAACATTCAGTTCTTCCAGGAGACAAATACAAAATTAACATTACAAATTCACATGTTATGGTCAAGAACCTACAATAATATACAGTGGGCTAATTTACCAGACTGATTTAAAAGTTAAGGTTTAGAGCCCGACAACATGATCCATGGAAAACCCAGCAAATCTAAAGACTCCCTGTGAGCAAGTACAACTCATTAGGAGTCATAGTCAGCAGTTACAGCTGCACAGCACTATGGGAAATCTGTCAGAATTAGCCAAAATAAACTACTGGTCATACCTGACCAAGCAAGGTTGTTGTGTTACAATTTTTTTAAAAAGTATTGAGCCAGATTTAACTGTTAATTTCTAAGAAAAACCATATGTTGTTTACTTCCAAAAGTTCTATTCTTGCATTAAATATGCTCTTGTCTGTTCAAAAAACAATGTAGGTACGTGTTCACTCGCACAAAAATACCACAGTTGTTGCTCTACGTCTTTTCTATGCACTGCAACTGCCTACTTCCTTTTCAAACAGGGGATGTCCAGCTTCCTGTGCTTAGTACACTAAACCCATGACAACTGATTCACCAAACAGCGCTGTGGGCCCGTTTGTCTCAAAATGATACTTCACAGCGACTGACTGCACCAAGTTTCAGTCGCTGGCTGGTCCGCAGGCAGTTTGTCGAGAGTTTGGATGTAACTCGAGCTATCGTCTCCGCTGGTCCTCTTGGTGCCCCTGTAGTATTTGCTTCAGCTACACAACAGCTGGGAATCTGGCTGTCACAGTACAGCGTGCCCATTCAGGCAACACTGGGAAGGGGTTTTCCACCACGCACAAACACACACGTGACACACTGAAAAGACATGCACACAGACTTAGATTAAGTAGCGCCAACATTTTCGTGGTTAGGCTATGATCTGTGGTTCCAGCTCGAGGCTGCAGACTGTCTCAAGAATTAAAATACACCACGCAATAATGAACCAGGTAGTATAAATAAGCATAGGATAAAATGTGGGTAAGCAGTCTTTTATTACAAAAATAGTGCCACCTCCAGAGAACTGGCACATCTCCAAAAATAAGCATATTGTCAGTTGGGAATCAATCTTTACATACACCGTTTCAAAAAAGTGAATCTCAAACATTTGTCTCGAGTTGTAATGTATTTAACATATTTGATCCCAAAGGTTTACCAAAAATATAGATATATTTTATGGCTTTGGTGGGGAAAAGGCAACACAACATTGCACTAAAATGCCTTTTCCAGGTAGATATACAGAGAGAATAAATAGCAATATAGTTAGATATTTTTAAATCTGTTATTACGAATATATACTTTACAGAACAGAAACATGTAAAGTTCAATGAAAAAATAAACAATAGCACCACATTGTTGACTAGATGTCCAAAATAAGAAGCTTATGCATCACAAATCTCTTAATCGTATGATTTTACGATTAGTTTTTGGCGAAATGTCAAGAAAGTGCAACAGGTTTGTAATGTGACACACTGAGGTATATGATATTTGATATATTGCATTAGCATCCTCTTCCCCACTACAATAATCTCCTGCAATGCTACAGGAGAACTCTCAGAACCTGACACTGGATTTTTATTTTTTTTTTTTTTTACTATGCAGATTTAAAAGGCTTGATGAACTCATTTCTCTTTTAACAGTGGAACTTTGGGTCGTATAGTTTGCTTCACTATGTAAAGTTAACATCTTAAGTCAATTGTTTCATTTGTAGTCAAGCGTCTCCGATCTGGACTCTCCACCAGGTTCTTTTCTGCAGTGTAGTGCTGGTCTTCAGTGTTCAGTTACTGTCAGTAAGAGATAACTGTTATTTCCAAATGAGTGTTGCTCCGCCTATAGCTGGGCACACTCTTCACAATGGTTCAGGTACTCTGCAGCGTCCGTGTCATTGAACCTGGCGAGGCACTGCGGGCACTGCAGCTCCGACAGGCCTGGGATTTCCCTCCAGACAGAGCTTGGTGCTGCTGCTGCAGCTGCAGGTTGCTGCTGCTGCTGCTGCTGCTGCTGCTGTCTCTCAGCAGGCGTCCTCAACAGAGGCTCTGAAGTGTCCTTATTTCGCCTTGAGGTGATCCTGTGTCCTATGCGCACACGACACATGGGAACCACGTCTCTGCTGTCTCTGCTCGCTCCCTGCTGAAGATGACATACAACGTCAGACTGCAGCCGTACATGTGTGTGAGAACGTGCTGATAATAAAAGCTTGTGCGGATGCGCCTCACTGAAGGGCTGCTCTCTCACCTGTTTGTGTAGCTGCTGCTTCAATTGAGACATCTGCTCCTTCAGGTCTTCAATCTGCCCCTGCGCCCGCTCTCTGTCAGCACGCTCTGATTTAAAGTCATCAGCGTAGATGAGAACCTTAAAAGGAAAAGACAGAGCCATTACTCTTCAGGTCTCGGCACACAGAAGCTGTGCTCAGTGAAGTAACACATATGTGTAGCAGAATGCAGAGAACACCAACCTGCTGCTCCAGTGTCTGGATTCGCTCCTGGTCTTGTCTCCTCATCTCCTCCACGTCTCTACGCAGTCTCGCACACTCACTCATTTTGTCCTGCAGCAAGCCGTTGAGCCTGGAAATCTCTTGATGAAGCAACCCACTGCTGACGGAGCCCATCACAGGCAACAAGCCCTGCCCAGTGCTCTCCTTCAGCCTCTGACATAAACCTCTGATGTACTCCTCCCTGCTAGAGTCATACTTCTGCCACTGAGAGTTCAGACCTTGCACCTAAAGGGAACAATTGAAACAGAAAGTTAGATCTTTGATCGTGTGCTTTGTTCTGTACCACACCATTCAGCTCGTGCTTAATTTAGATACACTTAGAAGTGCTTATTTTTCCACTCTCTGATGGATTTAAGGTAACACATTTGCCAAAAACTCAGTGTACTCTCATAGCTGCTACTCACATATGCCACACGCTGCTTTAGCTGTTGATTCTCCTCCTGGAGCTGACGGATTTGGGCATTAACAGCGCTCTTGTCTGACGGCTCTGACGTCTGTAGAGCATTGTGAAAGAGAAGTTACAACAACTTGTACCAACATTGTGGACACAATTTGCAGAGCTTTGAGGACAATATGGAGGCAAACAGAGCCATCAATCTGTCCCGAGGCGTTACACACCTCCTTAGCCTTTTGCTGGTGGACCACTTCCTCCACTTCTCCTCCTTCTCCTCCCCCCATTTTCTCTTTCTCCAGCCTGGCCAGCAGATCCTGACACACCTTCACAGTCGCCCCGAGCTGGCCGCGCAGCTGGTCGGCCTCCTCGGCCAGCGACGTGCACAGGACGGTCCTGGTGGCCTCGGACCGCTCCCTCTCCTCCAGGGCCGAGCGCAGCCTGTGGATCTCCCGGTCCTTCTCGTGGTCCGGCTGACACCTGATGCTCTCCAGCTCCAGCTCCTTCTCCCTGAGCTGCAAGTTCAGCCTCTGGATCTCCTGGAGGAAGACAAGGGGGGAGTTTGAAGTGTGCAACCAACTGGTGCATATTAGACATTAGATGTGACCCTCATTGATGTCATAATACTTGTCCTGTGTGTGTTTTTTTTTTTTTTTTAGATGTCTCTGAGCATATTTCCAATAAATTACTCCAACCTATATGACAGAACAGAGTTAAGCAGGGTGCCAGCAAGTTGTTAAAAGTTCAAACATGGATTTTTTTGTTAGCTCTGATCATCAACATTGGGGGTAAAGACGCTCACATGTGTTGACTTGAGTGTGACAGATGTGCAGCATTCAGCACATTCTCACCTCTGCTTGTCGGGCTGCCTTGAACTCCGTGTCGCTCCTCTTCTGCTTTAGTTTGCATATTTCTTTGAGCAGACTGTCCACCAGAGAGTTGGACGGACCGATCACCATCGAGTCCTTCTCTCCCACCGTCATGTAGATCCTCTCGTGTCTGCCCAGCCTGGCTTTCAAGTCCGCTATGATGTTGTCCTTGACGCAGATCTGCTTGTTGAGGAGGTCCATCTGCTGCCTGCTCTCATGGTACAGAGTATTGAGCACGCTGTAACTCCGCATCTTGTCTTTCAGCACGTCGTTATCCGTGTCTATACTGACGTTATTATCCATGGCGGGCGCTTCGTGAGTTGTTGTTGTTGTTGTTTTTTTTTTGACAGGACAGCTCGGTCTTTTAATAATCCAGCATTTGACGCTCCTGCTGCAGGTTCCTGTGTCTGTAGAAAACACACCGAGGAGGTCAGTTGTGTCGGAGCTCTGGCGCATCAGTGTGTCGAGAGTAATATCCCCGAACCGTCTTGGGGGATTTCCTAGGGAACTTCCCCGCGGACTTTTTGAGCTTCGTCAAAACGGAGCCCTGCCTGCTTTCAAAGGTTCCCTGTCGAGCGCCATTGATAGAAAAAGAAAAAAAAGGGGGAGCTTTATAGTCTGTTGGCTTAAACTGTTAATTGGTAAATACAGAAACACTAGTCTTCAGCGCTGGCTCAAAGTTTAAGCTAGCTGAAAGAGAAACAACGGCTGCTGCCTTCAGGGCCGTCGTAAAGTGGAGCGCTCCCAGCGAGAGGTGCGATTTTTTTTTTTTCTCACGCAAACTAAATTATAAAATAATCATGTGCATGATCACTATCATCCTCATTATTGTTATTATAAATCGTAATATTTTTCTGCCACATAGCCTTCATGTGAAGAAAACAAAAATCTTACACCTTCGTAATTGTTTTTTTTTGTTTTGTTTTATCCCACCCAAAATGTGTCGTTTTACGTTTCAACAGAAATCACAAATATTGCAAGAAATAACAATATCAATTAAAAAAGAAAAAGTCATTAATTTCCCGGCGGTAATTTACAGGGTTTCCACACAGTCCGCCCCTTGAACGTCACGCCAGGGCTTTTACAGTGTCATCGCAAATTCCCCATACACTCCAGTCATTTTGTTCGGAGTTAGTTTTTCCCGCGGCTTTGAATGCACCGCCGCTGCTGTGATGTCAGTTGATTCTTGCGCATTTCTTGCCTGAATTGCGCAGTTACGGTGACTCTATGGATGTGTCCACGACTGTCTGCAGGGGCTCTTTTATGTTTTGGAAGTAGATCTAGATCTGTCACTTCAACAAATATGGAATTACCAAAAAAAAAAAACAAAAGCAAAAAAAAAAAAAGCAGAATTTAGGATTGTGACCTCATGGTACTGTAGTTTTAGCCTGTATTATTACTGTAACTGTGTCCTAATGCATCTAGGATTTAATACTGTAAAGTGACTCCAAAGCAAAAGGGAAATGGAAAATAACTGAAACATCACTGCACTTGCAAGATGCTGTGAAACTGACAGACTCAGCTCAAATTTTATTAATCATCTTCATAAAAAAAAAACCCTAGTATAAATAGCTAACACCAGTTGACTAACATCATTATCATCCAACAACACCAACATCATCTACCATGCTTCATGTTGCAATTTTGCAGTAAGCTAATTTATAAAAACCTGTTGCACAAGTAAAAAGTAAAAGAACAATGCAACTAAACTATACGGTGCCTCACTAAAGTACATCTCAATATCACAGCTGAAAACAGTTCTGCTTTCAGAACATTGCTTCGTGTTTATCTACTTGATATTTATTCGTGGTTTGTCTGTAAGGAATATTGCACAGTTTTATGTACATTCTAAACAAAATTTTTTTTTTTTTAAAGTTATGGCAATTTTGATTGAAATTAGGTTCAACCAACAAGCTACACTGACTTATAGGAATGAGCGTTTCTTGTATGATGAAAGGTATCACCAATGAACTGTCTGAAATTGTCCAGGCCTGTTAGAATAGGGGAGGGGACTTGAAATCCAAAACTTAAGGTAAAAAGAAGTTATCAAACCATTTTATTTATGTTACCCTCAACTTCAGTTTAGTTTGAAATCAGCTAATGCAGACATTTGAGTTCAATTTATATGCAATATTAAGTTGGTCCAAATACCGACATTATTATTATTATGCCTCCCAGTAAGAAGTTCGCTGGTTCCCGTCCCGGTGAGGACACCCAGGATCTTTTCTGCAAGTTTGCATGTTCTCCCCGTGCAGCGTGGGTTCTCTCTGGGTCCTCCGGCTTCTTCCCACACAGTCCAAAAAGAGGTTAATTGGTGATTCTAGACTAGACTCCAGCCCCCCCGCGACCCTAGTGAGGATTAAGCGGTGTATAGATAATGGATGGATGGATTTGTTTCGTAGTTGGAGCTCTGCAATGTAGTGAAATGCAAAGTATAATATTTCCCTCTGAAATGTAGTGGAGTCAAACAACAGAGAAGCATAAAGTAGCTCCAAACTGTGCCTAGTATTTCATTTAAATGCACTGTGTATGAAGCTGTTGTGCAACACGGACTGCTGTTTGCTGAAGCTTCATACACAAACACAGTCATTCATTTTAGTCCATTCAGGGTTTACGCCGGACTTCAACAAAGGGACACTACTGACTGTTACCTGGTTAAAACGAAACTATCGTCTAGACTGTAGGAGTAGAGCTGAAGCTTTTAGGCGCTCATCCGAATGTCCTCACTGGCCGGTGGGGAGTCCCAGATATTTCTGGGTCAGTCACACATGACCCATGAGGGCTGTGAAGGTGAGTCATTTAGGTCACCTGGCAGTCATGTGACTGCTGTGAGAGTGCCATGGATCAAGGTATGAAGTGTGTAGAAACCACACGGGGAAGAGTGTTAGCAACTCACCGATACCTCAGTCACAGGTAACTATCAGTGAGATACACAACGGTTAATATCACTTCCATAGAGGACATTCTGAACAGGTAGTGTAAATATTTCAGACAAAAGCCTTCTGATCCCTCCCACACACGCCCACTCTGGTTTGGTTTCACATCAATTCACATCTTATTTCATGTGGCTGATAACTGTCAGGAGCTCATGTGACAAAGTGATAAACTCTGATAATCTGAGACGTCTGAGACTCTCTAAGAAGCAGCAGAACTGCTGAAGGATGAAACCTCTTAGACAAGTAGCAAAATGTCTTTGTTTCCAGGTAGTACAATACCTGGATGAATGGGCCTAAATGACTGTCAGGGCCTTCCCCCACGAAAACATTAGTCATGGACGGACGTATTAAGTGTCGGTTCGAATGCTGAAATGGTAACTTCACGGGCACTAACAATTCTAATTAGCATTTCAGTAGTTTCCCAAGTAAAAATACCAGACCTGGTTTCCAGATTTCACTGTGAAAATCGAAGATCTGGCAGCAAAGGTTGCCAGTTTTGTTTTGTTTTTTCTCCAAAAAACAATACTGTGTAGAATACTGTGCCATTCAAAAACACCCTGGTGAAAATTACAGCAAATACCTGTAAAATAATGTTTTCTTTTTTGTTGGTGCTGATTTTAGGTACAGTTAAGTAGTGAAGTTTTTTCTTTCTTTCTGTATTTAAATCAAATTTAAATTGAATCCAGTATAATTTTATTGCCGCACATTGTAAAAAACAAACAAACAAAAAAACAAAAAAAAGAAAAACAGATTTTTGATTTAAACATTATTTTCAGTTTGGGCCTTTTTAATAAATAAATAAACACATAAATAAGATTCACATGTAAATCAATATTTTTTTCTGCAACTGTACTAGATATTGTGTAGAATTAAAAAAAAAAGTAAAATACAGATTTTTAATGTGGACATTATTTACAGTTGTAGCATGCTTTTTAAAGGGTTAACAGATTTTTTGTGTGATTTTACTAGATATTATTTGTAATTTAATAAAACAAAGAAAACCTGTAAATGAACTGTAAATAAAAAAATACACTTAAAAAACATGTATTTATCATTTAATTATGAATGGAACACTTTGAACTGAGTAATTAATCAATTAACCAAAGACTAGAGAATGATCACAAATGAAAATAATTACTAGGTTTGATACCAAAGTATCTTTTGGTATTAAGTAAATAAATGTTATAAATGTGCACAGTAAAGATAATTAATTTAATTTTTGAGAAGCATTTTTTTTAAGGTGGGTTCGACGAAACAATTAAAAAGTTACAAACTGTTTTTCTTCTGGTGTCTTTTTCACTCCAAATACTTCAACACACTACCTCAGATACATCCTGCTAACTATGACAACATTTTACCACCGAGCTCCACTAGATGGAGGTGTTGAGCCAATAATGCAAACTTCATTTTTCATTTTACAATTATGTGCATTTGGATTATATACAAAAAAATCCTCTTATTCTGGAGTTTAATTGTCACACTCGAATGGACTGAGTCACTTCAAACACGTAGTTGGCGCTTTTAATTGCTGAAAACTTTATACAAGAATAAATGACAGTATTTGATATTTACATTGTAATACTTCCAAAAGAAAAAAAACAAAAACTTTACATTTCAAACGTACACACGACCACATGATTACTTACCAAGCTACTGCTCATCGAAAGACTACCGACCAAAAGTCAGGTATTCACCTAAAAACCCCATCCATGCTGCTTCCAACAGAATGAGGGCGCAAACCAAAACACAAGTTTAAATGAAATATGAAAGTCTGGAGTAGAAAAATATTACTTTTTTTTTATCATATGGTGGTAGAAAATTATGCAGTGGCTCACGTACAAAAAGTTTACCAAGAATATTAAAATGCTGAACGGGGAGAGAACATAGCCAGCTATCTCTCATGTTTGCTTGAGAAAACGGTGGGAGTACAAAAGCACAAATCACACTACGCACACACGGGGATCACAGCTTGACTCAATATGCACCATGCAGATTCAGTTTTGGTATTTGTGGAACGATGACACGACTGGCTCTCTGTAAGATTAAGGGCAGATACTTTACTACGGGCTCTAAACTATCCAACCAGAGCTCCTTTTGGATCATTTGAGCACCTGATGAATATCACAACATGTTGAGGTTTGACTCTTGTAATTTAAGTTGCTTTTATTGCGAGTTTTGAATAGAGTTTAACCCCCAGAAGAGAAAAGAAAAATGTCTTTCTGCAGGACTTAACAGTAGGCTACATCTGCCGGTGATTATTAGAGTTGTTTTTAATCCTGCACTCAAAGCTCTGCTAGTTTTCACTCTAACTGTGTAATTTGTTATTCCTCTGCAACATGGGACACCAGCTGATTGCAATTAACTGCAACTGAAGAGGTGGCAGAGCCAGAGGCCTTTCTCCAGGGAGAGACACCAAAGTGGCCACTAGGGGGCAGTGCAAAAATGAATTGAAGTCACTGAGTGTTTACTGTTACATGGAAGCACTGTCCAAGATGTGAGAATTAAAGCCACAAAGTTATGTTTGTAGTTTTATGTGGTCCTTATATTACCTGTAGATGTATAAGATTTAATGAATAACCAGAAATGTCTCCTTTGCTTCACTCTAGAGCCAAATACAAGCAGAATAAGTGAAAGTTGGAGGGACAATAAAAAGGGCTCAACTAAACTTGCTCCTCAACTCTGACATGAAGTGTTTTTTTTTCTCCTTCTTAGCACTGCATTTTGCGGATGCTGCGTGAAATCCTCTTAAACTCGCGCTGTCCCTTCTGCCAGCGCTTCAGTGAGGTGATCACCAGGTGTCCGTCCATCTTCTGGCCCATGACCAGGTAGGCGGCGTTGATGTCGTTCATCTCCTCACAGATGCACTGCAGCCCGTCCCTCAGCCACAGCACCGTCTTCCTCAGGTCGCGCTCCGTCACGCCGTTCATCATGTAGATGGTCTTGCTCTTGGTCTCCGGCACGATCTTGGTGTCGCCGTTGATGTATGAGATCTCCTTCACTTTGATTTTCAGCGCTTCGTGCGTGCAAGAGAGAGACACAGAAAGAGAGTGAGAGAGTGTTTGAACAAATACTGTGTCATCCATGAAAGCCAGCTGAGAGGCTTGAGGCCTTTGGAGCAAAAATGCATGCAGTAGAGGAGATTAAAGTGACGCCTTATAGTCACAAAACACTTGCTTTTATATCGTTTCTAGTGAATTAAGCACACTAAACAGTAAAGTTTCTCCTCATGCTGCATTCAAATACTTGAAACCTCCCTTAATGTTGCTAAATGACCCCCCTGGGCCCCTCTGCTTCACCTTGGGAGCTAATAAATCAGATGGGCGGACTTACCAAAGTCATTCTTACACAGGTTGTCAACAATTTCGTTGTCATTTTCGTCAGTTTCTTTGCAAGCATCGCACACTCTGGGCACTAAAACAGAAATTAAAAGAGATGCATATTACATAATCGGCCATAAATCATATATCCAAGTAGTGGATTCTGATGTTCTGATAAAATACCATGCTGTTCACGTGCATTTTGTGAAGCAACAAATATATGAAGCATATCTTTATCTTATAAGTGATTTTGACTTTTACGCACAAGATTTAGGTTCAATTTGCGTCTAAAAATGACACTTAAACGGATCTTTACCCTCTTTGGTGACTGGCACGACGTTCTCGATGCCTGCAGGTGGTATGCACAGGTCGTTGTCTAGTGGGAAACGCTCGCAGTCCAACATCAACGGCCACGGAAAGCCAAACGCGGACATCACTGGCGCGCAACCGTGCTTGACGCTCTCACACAGAGACCTGCACGGCTGGATGGGCTCGTCCAAGTCGTCCAGACACACCGGAGCGAAAAGAGAGCACAGGAACTTTCTCGTGTCGGGGTGACACTGCTTCTGCACCAGCGGGATCCAAGACGAAGCTTGCTGCAGAACTTCATTCATGGTTTCGTGTCCGAGCAGGTTCGGGAGGCGCATCTCCGTGTACTCTATGTCGTGGCAAAGCAGGAGGTTTGCAGGAATCGGCTTGCAGTTGTTCTTTTTGTAGAATAGTTCATGCTGGCCAAAGTTGTACAGTCCGTGGATGGCCTCCAGACAGGGGATAATTATCACCCACAGCACTGTCACAGAAGAAACGAAGGTTCTCATCTTGTTCGTGCGTAAAAGTTGTAAAATGTGAATAGAGGCGCGTGTTCAGGTCTTGTTGAGCATCAGTCAGCGTGGATGGAGCGTCTGTCAGTGGCCAGCTCCTACTGTAACGAGAGGTTTTCTTCCTGCCATGTCTGGGAGGAGTCTGCATGCTGTGCGTAAAGACCCTCTTCTTCATTCAGCACACTTGTATCAGGTGGGCAGATTTGTCTTCTAAGTCAAACAAAACCTCAAATTCTGCCTCGTTGCTCCTCTGAGTCTGAGAGACATTTTTGATTTCTAATTATGGCTCGTAGTATTTTATCACCAGTCGTTTTCTTGACACTTCCCCTCCCTATTTCATCTCCTGCTCCCCATGGAAGTCATAACAAACTGTGTCTGACAGGTTTTCCTCATTACGCCCAGATCAACAGAAATATATCCTGAGTGATCCCCTAAACTTGCTGTTTTTAGACCAGAGCTGTAAATAGTTTGGAAATGTCAGTAAGGGCATTTAGCTCAGCTCAGTGGAGCGTTAATTTTCCATCATTAGGAGTGGTGAAATCCTCTGGGCATGTCTGCAGGTTCGTACCACATGGTGAAATATTGTTTGCCCTGGTGTGAGTAGCAGACCTCCACTCAGCGCACCCAGGGGTGAAACCAAATCTGGCTCCTCCGGCACTGCAGCTCTGGCTCCTATCCGCTCTCAGACCCCCACAAGCTGCAGCCTGGTCTGCAGACAGCAGTGTGGTTCTTCTCAAACCTGAACTTCCTCTCTCTACCTTGAAAGAGGCTGCAATGAGTGAGCACTTCAATCTTAGATGTAAGACTATGTGGAATTTCTTGCTAGAGGTTCAGTTCACCCAAATTACAGAAGCTTGTTTCCCCTATTTACCCCCTTGTGGATTGTAGATATTCAGATGTTTGCTTAGACACACAGTTGTAGAGACGCCTGGTGCCACTCCATTAAATGGAGGTGAACTGAATTACATTTGTTGTGCCATTGGAAGCATCAATTCTAAAATCCACCTATTGTGCTAAATGTTGATTCCTGTGTTGTCTCTGCTCGCCACCACCTTAGCAACTGCTTCAATCGTTCAACAGGGTTATGAGTCAGTTGTTTTAAGTCGTAGGAAAAAAGTATTTGAATTGAAAACACAGTTGTAGTTTATTTGCTCTAAATTAAACATGTCATTAAAGTTTATGGGTCTATGTGTGCCAGTTTCTTTTTTTTGTTGTTTTTGCAGAATTGAACAAAGATGATATTTTGGCGAGGCATCCCACTTCACTTGTTTTTCTTTCCGTATGAAAACAAGACTGAACCTATAAATGATTAGGTGAACCTGGCGTGTACAAGTAGTGTTAGATGAATAAAGTCCTGCTCACTTAAATTAGGTGTCGGGCGGTTTTGCTACTGAGGATGCAGCCAGTTTCTTAAATCCTGAACAGGAAAATCATCATGAAATTAGATACCTCACACTAACTACTGACTAGTGACATTCATAAATACATATTACTCATTTCCATAAACTGATGACTATAAAGAACAGCAAAGCTACAGCAGTGAGGACACGAGCCACAATGATGTAATTCCTGCCACTACTGCCTTTCAACTTAGTCATTTTTCTCACTATTTATATAATGTATCACTGCAAGAAAATAAATTAAAAACACCTGTATTTTTTATTGTATTTTTTTGTATTGACAAGTTAAGGGGCATGACATTTTAAAGGAGAAGATTTTAAATATGTTCCCTTAAATCAACAATTAATTGGCTCGTCTAACAAGTTCTGCTTGTGTACAGCTTATTCACAGAGCTCCACTGTTAGTCCAACATCTACCAAGAGCACGCAACTGAAACACACTGTTGGAATGGTATTATATTTTATTTAAAACCAGGTGCTGTAAATGCTCCCCAAAACCCCCCTGCAGATGCAAATAATCCCAGGTGAATGCACAGTCCGCTCCTGTTTGAGAAAACCGTGAGACAAACCGCTTTAGGAGATGACACTGCCTTTTATACGATAAAACAACATGTTTGTGACACATTAATAGAGTGCATCAGACAGGGAAATTATACATTTGTGAGTGACAGACTAGCACATTGTTTGGTCTTTTTATAGGATTTGTTAAGAAAAGTATAGAGCAGCCCTATTGTTGCATTTGGTGGTAAATCAAATCCATTTTTTGGTGCACAAATCATTCAATAACTGTTTTTATACATCCAACAACAACATATTTTTCTCCAAATCTTGTCCTGCTTTGGATAATACAGAGAAAAAACTATCAACACTTCAGCAGAAAATGGTTACAGTGAAAACTACACACAATGACTTTTAAAAAACCGGCTTCCATGTTGAACAGGAATGACTGCGTTAGGAGAGCAGAGGATTGTTTTTTGGTCAAACACTGAACTTGCTTTTATAGTGTAACTCTCTCCCTCTTACCCCCTTTACCTTCAAAGTGCTTTAAATCTGTTAGGGTCTCTGTAGAAACACTTCCACAGACATTTAGGGGCTAAAGGCAGCTATTAACCTGCAACTGGACTCCTTTTAGCTGAGCGGCAGGTCAGCTGGCCGAACTGTACTGTGGTGTGGCAGGTCACACGCTGAACCTTCTTGGGCCACTAAATGTGATCAGATTTAAACAGGCTCAGGATGCACTTTTGGCCAGCAAACTGTTTTAGGAAGTAAACTGAAGCATCACATTTATAAAATTTGTGGTAAAGTAGTGAGAGGGAAAGAAGTGCCTCATTTGACCTTTTGAAATTACAAGAAATAAACCAGAACTGGATCCAAGATGGGATAAGTGGAACTGGGTCACCACATTTAAGGCTTATTTCTCCAACGCAGATTTGATACAGCCTCCATTACCGGTACAGTTTCACAGACAGTTAAGGTCAGAGGCTCGGGATAGAGGTAAGCCGATCCAAAGTCTGGGCTTAGCATCACCCCAGCAGGTTCTCATTAGAAGTCTGTGCAAGAATGAGACGCGACTTGTCGTACCTACTGGTTGATCTGCAGCCCAGGAAGCCTTTGCTGTTTTCCCTCGCCGCAGCGCTCCACCCTCTTCCTTCCTTTTTTCATAAAGAATCGAAGGCCAGTGTCAAACACAGTCAAAGAACATGGTGCCAAAGATAGCCAGATCTCAGTGGAAATGTTCTGAGAAATCAACTGAATGAATATTCATGAGACTCTAAGTGTTTAACAAATTACAATGCAAAGTCCTGTTCAGCAGACAGCGCCACGTCTTTGCAGACATCAGAGTAAATAAAAAGGATTCTTCTGGTGAGAATCTACATGTTTTGTTTGGTCAACAAATTCCATTAAAAGACCAAAAACAACAATTCAGAAACGATCCTTGCAGCTGAGGGCAAAATAAGCTCACTTCACTGTTCCAGCAACTGGTGTCTGTCTTCAAACTGAAAACACATGAATGAGCCACACTGTTGCACTCGGTGGCTTGTTTTGTGTTACGATGAACAGGGCCACCCTACACACACCATTCTGCTTGATTAATCTGTGGCTGAAAAAAAAAAAAAAGCCCCCAATAAATGCCCTATTTACTCCTGTTTGAGTAACCTTTGCTAAAAACCACAGAGCTCAGCACTCTTATTTAAAATGGTAACTACATGTGTGTGTGTTTTTTTTTAAAGATTTACGTCTTCATAAGGAGCAAATGAGCTGAATACCGAGAGCCACAGACATGCTGGGAAAGCTGGAAAGTACAGAGAGAACTAGTAATAATGTGTTAGTTTGTTGACAGACAGAAAAACGGTGAATAGTTCCTGCCTTATTCATTATTAATGATCTGAAACCTCTTGCACAGGGCCATGACCGAATAGATGCCAGCTTTTGGGTATGAGAGTCACACACTGATTCGAGATGGCCTGCAACCTGCTACACCTTTATAAAAAAAAATCATCTTAGGTGGTGTTAGCTTGCCCGATACAGTCCACCATGAAAATACGTCTTCACTCGTGGGACCTCTGCTTGTCTCCCTCGACCTCCAGACTGCCAACTGAGAATCAGTTCTACAGCTCTGAGCATTATCTTGAAGGGCACTAATGAGCTTGTTAACTTCAATCACTCCGTCTCCACGCTGACATTCGGGGAGGAATTTATCCCATCCAAGAGGAATTAATCTCATTAGAGCTCCAGAGTCATATAGATTGTGCCTGCTTGGCGTAATTGATGTTCCTATTGTACAGGTCTAATTGACTCAGTATGGGGCTTTAGAGCAGCTGTGGGACGCGTATACCACTGTACCAGACTTTGGCAATCCATATTAAAAATGTGTATCAGGCAGCAGACAAACATGCGGACAAGAATATTGTACACATTTTCAGTTTTTGAAGCATTAAAATGGAAAGATATTTAATATTAATTGAGCCGGCATTCTTAAAGAAAAGAATTCAATGTTCTTTTTTAAAATATATGTATTTGTTTTCTTGCAAAGAGTTAATTTCGTCTCCTCCAGATGTGTGTGCAATTAATAAAACTTCCAGCAGCCGTTAGCTTAGCATAGCACCAAGCCTGGCAAGCAAGTTTTTTGGATGTAATTTATTTCTGTTGACATCTAACTCTAGAAAAAGAATAAACGCACTTCTCAAAGTGTTGAGCTACTAATGGACTGTGATTACCGCTGTATAATTAGCATGTGTACAATTGAGGCCCTTCTCAGTAGGTTTGTGTCACAGGATACTAAAATAGTGTCACTGTACCATAAAACACAGCAACGAGCCGGGCAGGTTTATGCTCGCAGGATGTCTAAGGATCAGTGTGACGAGCGGATCCTTCTGTAGGGCCTTGCTCTCTGACCCCTGACCGATACTGAAGCTGGAAGACTCACACTGTGAAGGGCTCTCGGGGGATATTTTACAACTCAGACCAAAGTACGAGCAGCTCTGCAGTCACAGAAGTGCTTTCTGAGTGACCTGTACCTGATCTTCCTCCCATATGGAGAGGGGCACCCTGCAGCTCTGCCCCTCGCCACCTTCACACATTCCTTACGAGTATAAAAGAAAAGAAAAGAAAAAAAGTTACTTTTCTACTTGCAAACTCCAGAAACAATATATGTACATCAAATTTATTGAAGCTTAAATTTAAAAGAGCTCCGGAGGTTTCTGAAGTCAGGATCTTGGACGTCTGTAGCATGAAAGTAGAGGTGATTGTAAAAGAATACCTGTCATATGTAATATATAGAAGTCAGACTAGTATAGTTTTAGTCTGGTATTTGCAGTGGATTTGAACTTTTGATAGAATATTATACCGCTATTTTTTTTTTTCTTTTTGCATGCTCCATGGATGCAAACAGCCAGAATAAAGCTGGCATTGATTTAGTCTGCAGTAACTTGCAGTATGGTATTAATTCTTCTCTTTGGTCT